GGTGTTTCACCTTGTGTTTGGCACAGTTAAACACAAATGCTAGCTATGACTAGTAATAGCACTTATTCTTGTGGGTTTTGTTTTGGTTTTCCTTAGCGTGCTTTTCTCTTTCACCGGGGAGAGAGAAGGTTGTCATTTATTGAGCTTAACTGAGCCATCCATTTGTTGGTGGATATATTCATTGGGGCAAAATAATATAGTTCATCTTTTCCTAACCTAACTCTCACTTTGACAGTCAGCTAAATTACATTTCTTCCTGCCCTGACAGGAAATACCTTGCATTACAGAGATTTGAGAAGGACTGTGAAGAACATAGAGACATTACAGAACTGCAGCAGGGGACTGCTGAAAGTGGTTTGAACTCCAAACAGCTGAGGGCTATAGAAGGGTTGCAGCAATTGCATTGGCTGAGCGTTGAGGCCTGGCCCAGCTGCATTCAGACTGTTTGATGAGGGACAAACCAGGTGTGCTCATGTATGAATCAGAACTAACGTAGCAGATGCTAAAAGCAATCCTGACTCATTTTAGTGTTTCTCTCTGATATTCTCAGCTCTAGCATCTTGTCTGGCAGGAAATCCTGCTGAATACCATCCCTTACACAGGTTTCCCAGTCCACAGTGATCCACATACTAGAGACTTACACATAAATCCTGCCTATGATTCCCGTGTCAGCCATCTTAATGTACAGCACTATGCCAAGTTTGTTTAAATGTTTCTTGACATTCTACTCCCAGGGAGAACTTTGCACAATTCTTCTCCATGAGAAAAGTCATTGCAAGTCAATAGCAGGTCATTACAAAGTAAGAGAACATGGAGCAAATTTTACTTCTTGTAACATTTACCTTATCTTTACCCACCCCCTAATTTGTTCACTGAGAGTAAAGCATAAAAATAAATGCCAAATGAGGAAGTCTGTTGTCTAGACGAGGGTGGAATGACTAAGATTGGCTTGGAAATGTACTTACTTATTATCAAAGAAGAGTCAGGGAACTGAACCTAGAATTTCCTAAAATAACTTTTAAAAAGAAGACTGGGTGAGAAAATAATAAAATAAAGTCTTTCATTAATATAGCTTTTGCTTTTAAATAAACACAGATGTCTGTGGGTCATCCCATGACATATAAGGATATCAGTACTGAACATATTTTCAGTTCCCCATGGGTACATTCTCCTCACAATATCCTAGCTTTCCATTTATTTAAACTAAAATATATAGAAACAAGCATTGTATGTTTAACAATGAAACATTTAGGCAAATTATAGATCTGCTCGGAGAAACAGAGTTTTATACCTGCTATACCAATGTTCAAATATGTCTATTGTCTTACTCAAGAACATAGTGGTTTCCCACTCATCCTTAAGATGAATTTCTATCTAAACAAGGGCACCTCAGACCTTATCATCAGTTTAACATGACATGATGAAACACTGAAATAGAACTTCAAGGTCAGGAAGGTGAGTTGTTTCTGTTGTTAAATACCGTGGCCCGAAACAGTTTATTAGGAAAGGGTTTATTTTAGCTTACAGTTATAGTCTGCCATCAGTGGAAGCAAAGGTGTAAACTCAAGGCTGGAACTGAAGCAGAGACCGTGGAGGAATGCTGCTTCCAGGTTCACTCATCAGAACACGCCCATACAGCTTGGCTTTTTATACAAGCTAGGACCATCTGCCCAGGTGGCACCACCCACTGTGGAGCCCTCCCATATCAAAGGTGAATCTAGAAAAGGTGTCATTGACTTGCCCATAGGTTAATCTGATGGAGGCAGTTTCTTAACTGAGGTTCCTTCTTCCCAGGTGATTCTAGTGTATGTCAGGTTGATAGAAACTCAGGAGCACACGAACTGAATCATGGTCACATCTAACTTTGTATTTTACTGTGTTTATTGAATTATGTTCTTTTGTATTTCAAATGGAAATTGTTGTGTCATAGATTGAATAGTATCTGATTTTCCAGGCAATACTCGGCAATAAAGATGGATGAATTATGTAATTGTGCCAGGTGGTGGAGACAGAGACATTTAATCCCAGCACTTGGGAGGCAGAAGCAGATGGATCCCTTTGAGTTTGAAGACAGCAAGGTCTACAGAGCAAATTCCAGGACAGTCAAGGCTACACATAGAAATCCCTTCTCAAAAACAAACAAACAAACAAAAAACAACAAAAACAAACAAACCAACCCCAAAAACCCAACAACAAAAAGAATTATGTAGTTGTTTATCTTCTGTTTTTAGCTTTAAAAAGTAACTAAAACTGTTTTAAAAAAAATCACTTTATTAAAAGTTTTGTTAATTAAATAATTTTTATCAGATTCTAATAATGATTCACAACATGCATTTGCCACTATTTTCCTAACTTTTATTAAGACAGACTGATATTTTTTTCTGTGTCAAGACCCAGAGTGAGGATAAATTATTTTGCTGTTCTGTTTTTAGACAACTAAAGGCTGGTAAGCATGTCTGTCCATGGGGATCACCTGGAAACATAACCACTGATGATGCCCTGTGTCCCCACTAATTTGTGCTGAGCATGGCTTAGGCCTGTCATATTACAAAAGTTCTGTAGGTGACTAAAATATGCAGCCCTTGACACTCAATGAGGTTGAGGGTCATTCGCCTGTCATATTACAAAAGTTCTGTAGGTGACTAAAATATGCAGCCCTTGCCACTCAAGTGAGATTGAGGGTCATTAGCACCATCTTTACCTGTGCTTATCAGAAAGATATTAAAGATATGCTTCAATAATTCTGCATCAGAGCCACACATCCAAAGGGTGGGATTCGTTATCTATGAAAATATAGGACCAATGCTATTGCGTCTTTCCTCCATTAATCAATTTTTCCTTATGAATGAAATACCTTCAATAACTTAGAAGGAAGAAAGGTTTATTTTAACCATGATTTTAAAGGGGAAGGCTGAGATTCTACATTCCAACTGAGGCAGATGTATCACAAAACTTTAAATCTCCCTGTAATCTATATCATGTGACCTAAAACCGTACAGTAGGCCTGGACTTCAAAGATGTCTCTCAACATCAGCAATTTGGGAACTAAGCCTTTAGCCTCGGGCTTTTGAAGAGCATTTCAGATCCAAATCAGGACACATATGAACTCCAAAACTCTCATTCTTTCAAAGTTATCTAGAATTCTCCTACAAAATGAGAGACCTAAGCCATTCTGTATTCTCCAACTCCACAGTTCTAATTTCATAAATCTAAGCAAATATAATACTGAAAAAGTTAATAAAGATTGTATTCCAAATCCATCCTCAGTTTTGTGTATACTTTCACTCATCTAGAGTTAGTTTCTCTTTTCTCTTCACTGGGTCTCATCATTTGGTATCTAAAGTCCTACCTCTGAAACAATGAAAATTCATGTATGTTTTTCTGATAATTCCATAAGCCAACCATGCCCAATGTTTAGATCATCAAGTGCATATTGTCTTGTTTCCTCAATTAAATTATAAGTATCTTGAATTTAAAAAAAATCGTGTTATGTTCCTTTTCAGTCCTAATTTGGCACCCTATTTTGTAAGTGAATAATATAGTTAAAATTTTCTCCACTAATCTAACTATCTCACTTCTTAAAAGATGCCATGTCTCTGGAGCGTCCCTGTAATAGACCCTTATGTATGTATGTGCCTCACAAGCAGCTGGGCTTTGGAATTGATTTTGCTACTGCCTTAAAGATTGAAAGGCTCATAATAAATCTGCTTAACTAACATAGAAATTAGCCAGAGAATGATTTAACCTTTAAGTGTTAATATGAAAATACTTGATTTCTCATATTCCTTAGTCCTGTGCCTGTTTCATTCACCATCATATCTCAATGTTTACAAATGCTGCATACTAAGTGAACTATAAACATTCCTTCAATAAACTATGCAGAAACAAAAATAATTCTAAAATAGACCATGAGCTCACAGTATCATCTGGCTATATAACTTTCATCAGTAGCTCTTACATTTTTTCTTGGTATTTATGTATTTTATACCATATAAATAATAACTAGTAATTACAGAAAACATCCACTCAGAGGTCAATATGGCAGCTCAGAAAGTAATGCCACTTGTATATGGAGCCAAGTCTCATAATCTCAGTGACTTCCATGATTCCATGAGATCCAAAATGAGAGGAGAGAACTGACTCCCACAAATTGTCCTCTGATCTTCAACATGAGTCTGTACTCACACATAAATACAAATAAATAAATTTAGCAGATTTTTTTACACAAGGAAACACCCATTTTGTAAACATTTAAAAAACACAATTACTTAAAATATACAATCTACACATAACTACTAGAAACAGTAGTTGAGACAATCAATTTACATGCTAATATGTATGTCTACTATTCAACACCAAAATATCAAGTCATCCAGAAAATTATGAGAAAACTAATTTTGATGGTTGCATTAATATCTATGTCAAAATTTACATAACCATTGATCATTGGAATACTGTTATTTCAGTTTTTGGTAATTATACACAATGGTGTGATAAATAATATTTATCACAAATATTCTTATTCAAACATATCTGTAGAATAATATTCATGAGGTAAGGCCACTAACTTTAGAAACTACATACAGTTTACTGCCTGTGATTGAAAGAGTTAAGTACATGGACCCAAAAATGTTTATACTATTGGGGTTGACTCAATGAATCAGTGGATAAGAGTTGATGGGCAAACCTACCAATCTGAGTTCAATCCCCATGACCAATGTAAAGGCAGATGGAGAAAACTGATGACTGAAAATTGTCCTCTGCCTCTTGCATGTCACACACACACACACACACACACTCACACACACTCACACACACACACACACGCATACCCGTACACAAATAAAATACACTTGAATGTTTGTGAATGTTTGTTCTGTTATAGTACATCTTTAAGAGTTAGGAGTTATGTAAAACAATCTGTTTCTTGGCAATAATTCCTTAAAGAGATACCTAGATTAGAATGTAATAAATAAATAATACTGTTGAAAAATACTTACATTCTTTTTGAGGGTAAGTTTCAGTTTGGAGAGGTTTGAATTCATAATATGGTATCTCATGCTTGAATATAGAAGCGAGAACACCATCAAGCTCTTCAATGCCTTTCTGTTTTTAAATGGAAAGAATATTGAAAATTAGCTGATAGGCTACTCATGTTCTAGTGAATGGCCCCACACCCGTGTATACATACATAGCACTAACTGAACTTAGTATGTTATAAAATAGCAAGACATGAAGTTGTGAGGGAGACATATTGGGGGGACAAGAGAATTGCAGATGGAAATGGGGGATATATATGATCATATTTCACTATACACATGTACAGGAAGTAAACAGAAGTCTTGATTAACAAAGGAAAAACAGGTGTGTTGTGTGCCATGGTCTTAACGGGAGGTGAACCCACTTTCTATGTGAAGTTGTATCGTCATCATATTTAGATACCTGTAGGGAAAGTCAACTTTTAGACTGAACAGAGTCTGTGGTGGGCCAGAACCAAGCTCTGTGTTTAAATATCTGGGAGAAAGAAACTAAAGTCACCTCCTTTGTCCCACTGTTCATGATAAGGGACAGGAAAGTAAGCCAGGTCAGCCATTTAAAGAGGAATTTGATAAGCAGTTGTATCACATATTTTATAATTTCTTGCTGCAGCTTATAGCAAAGCAGGTTAAGTACCCAAGCAAAAATAAAAAAGCTTTGGGGCAGCAGTTCTCAACCTGTGGGTTTCAATCCCTTTGATGGTGGAGCTACCCTTTCACAGGAGTCTTCTAAGACCACTGGAAAACACAGGTATTTACAGTACAATTCGTGACAGTAGCAAAATTCCAGTTATGAAGTAGCCACAAAACTAATTTTATAGTTGGGGGTCACCACAACATGAAGAACTATATTAAAGGGTTGCAGCATTGGGAAGGTTGAGAACCCACTGCTTTAGAGGGTTAGGCGAAGTTTCATCTCTCCCTCGCTCTCTCTCTCTCTCTCTCTCTCTCTCTCTCTCTCTCTCTCTCTCTCTCTCTCTCTCTCTCCTTCCAAAAATTATCAAGTTAATATAAAAGGATACATCTTTAGTAAAAGCGATATATTTTCCCTAGTCAACGCAATTTTTCTAACTTTTGAATGAGTCATTTCTCAACATTGTGACCATGAATACTGAAGTAAACATTACAACTCAAGGCAAGTATAGTGAAATAAGTCTTTAAATTACTTTGTATTTGTTGCTGATTAGATATGTGTATGGTTATAGAGTCCCCTTTACTGACTTGCAAATAACGCGGTAGAGAAAAAAATGTTCTGAAATCCTGATCTAGGTTCTTTGTGAATCTTAGTAATATGCAACTGATAGCATCATATGAGAACACTAGTAACTAGGTGAAATACCAGTAAGTATGATTTGCTTTTCTATACATTTTCTGATGGAGTTACTACCTATCAATAAAATGAAATCGCCCCAACCTAGACAGAAGTCTGCACAGAACTGTGTGTGGAAATTCGGCCTTCTATGCTGGGGTTTCCTCTGCTGAAACTAATACATCAGTCTGTTATTCACATCTGAAATTCTAAACTTAAAGCATATAGCTTTTGAATTATTTAGAATGAAGTTTTGCTACTGTACATCAGAGACTCAGAGGGACAGTGGCATAAACAAGACAGAGTCCCCTGCCTTTTAAACTTAGAAACCAGCAATTCTTCAGCCTAGGGCTGATGTAGTGACTCCCTGTGACTGGGGATCTAGGCCTGCACTAGAGATTTAACAGCTTTCCATTGTCTTTCCAGTTGAAGATGGCTTGTCTGTTGCTCCCATGTTGGTCTTTCAGACAATCAATAGAAAAGAGTGCCAGGAAAGCATGACTACCTGCTGTGAAAGCTTCCAAATTTGCATGTGGCTGTCAGAGACATGCCATGTCACTGGGTTTAACTTAGACATATGTCTACTTGCTGGCTGCAAAGGAGGAAATGCAATATTCATCTGAGTGGCCATGTGGATATAGAATAGAGACTGGCAGAGGAAGGAAAGTGTGAAGATGGCAGCCATAGGAGGCTGATTAGAGGGTACACAAAAAACACAGAGTGAAGAGATAAGTTCCAGTATCCAGAGCACAGTGAAATGGCCACAGCTGACCATAACCCACTGCATACCATGTGAGGGACATGGTAGGAGGAGCCTGTAGTTTACAAATGAGAAATGATGAGGAGTGAATACCAGTCACCTGTATTTTATCAGTTTTCAGTAGGCACATATTAGAATATGATACTGTGGCAAGTCACTGTGTATAATTATTACATTTTAATTTTAAAAGAAGACATGGGATGGCTCCACATATTTGAAGATCAATCCTCTTGAAAGGGGAATTGTTATAATCTAACTTTTCGGATATTTGAGTTTGAAGAAACCATAGAGAGCAAGAATTCTAGATTTTTCATTGGACACCTGAAAAATTCTTCAGCGTGAAAGAAGCCTATTTCCTGTGACATCAGTGGTTATCATTTTAATAAGAAATTATAACTCATACCCATATCCCATCCAAATTTCTCCTTTGCCACATTGCTACCATCCAGAAAGGAGAGATAGTATGTAGCCTTTCAGAAAGAGGCATTTTTCATAACTATTTCCTTTATTTCCATAGGTAACTTAGGACAGCTTTTGTATAGTCTCTAAGTCAATATCAAAGTGTACTAACTCACGGTCCAGGACTGTAGTAAAAGAAAGATGGATTATAGCACAATTCTCCATCTGCCTGCTGTGATACACTTCAGAGATTTCATGATTGTATAAGCAGACTTTTTATCATGTGGACCACGATGTATTTCCAGGGGGTAGTTTCACTTCTCTCACCACCTTCTTTGCATACTTGGTCTACATTTTTTCACTACATTATTCAAATAGTGTCAGAAAGGAAGGTGTCCTTGAGTTTTCCTTATATTCCAAAGTAGTAAATACTAGTTGTGCCCCATATACAAGGAAGGAACTGTGTGAAAGACATTGGTTTCACAGAGATAAAAAAACATAGCCCGCCCTTTAATCAAGTTTCTTGGGTGGCAGGAAGAGCAGTGCTATAGTTTCCCATGGAATGGATGAGTGCACAGAGCAACCAAAAAGAATACAGGAGGTAAAGGATCATATAGCAAAGAAACACAAAGGAATGCTTTGATAAGAGAGAGTTCTGGAAAAGATTTGGGATCTTGTATCATGTGCATTGAAATGAGTTTGAACATCCTGTGAGACAGAAGTTGACTGCAAGTGCAACACTGGTGCTGCTCCCTGCATGCGAGCAAGCACTCTACACAGCATTGGTGCTGCTCCCTGCATGTACAACTTGCATCAGACAGGGCTGTTGAAAATAGGAAGGTTTGCATTAATATTCTGAGACAGATAATTGTCTAATGGAAAATTTAGAAAATTACTAGAAAGAGAAGGGACTTCCAGTACCTCTGGAAGACAGTCTTCAAAGTAAACAGTTCCCAAGATAGCTTACCTGGGCTAAGAGGTTACCCTTCAAGGAAACTATTAGGATACAGAAGCACACTGGGACAAAGTCTCCATGTCAGTCTTTGAGCCAGAACCTTTCCTCACTCCAACCCCACTGACCCCACTGATATTGCCGAGGTCTCCATCACTGAAACAAAAAGCCTGAGAGAAATGACAGGGAGGAAAAGTTGATAGTGGCTCACAATTCCCAAGAGTTCAGCTCCTGGTCAGCTGGCTTTATCATTTTTAGGCCTGTACCCAGGCAGAACCACCATTCAAGCAGTGTATGGCTGAAGTGAATTGTTCCCCTTGACAGTTGGGTAGCAGCGGGAGAAAGAGAAAAACAGGGTCAAGGGACGAGATCTGTCCCTACAAGGCACATCTCAAAGACCTACTCTTTTCAGCAAGTCCATGCCTCCTGAAGTTTCCAGTCTTGACATCAGCTGGTTTGTGCCATTAGCTCATGATTTGGAGGAATATTTTTGAACCAATTCTTAACAATGTCTCATTGTATAAAATAGTTGCTAAATGGATGTAGTCTAGTAAAACAAACCCCAAGGATTTATTGCTGTCCATAATTAGTGCCTCTCTCAGCCCTTGTCAAAGAAACTTCTTGAAGTAGATGAAAATTAAGACAGAGACCTCCTTCTGGTCAAGGTGCAGAGAACAAGAGACTATGTTCAGCCCTAAATGGGGTGTCTGTGTCAGTTGTCAAAGAAACTTCTTGAAGTAGATGAAAATTAAGACAGAGACCTCCTACTGGTCAAAGTGCAGAGAAAAAGAGACTATATTCAGCCCTAAATGGGGTGTCTGTGTCATCCCCCTCAGGGATTAGAGGGCTTTACAGAGGAGATAGTAGAAAGACTTTGAGAATCAGAGGTGAAGAAAGAGTACAAGGAGACAGTGTTTTCAGGCACAGTGGGGCAGATTCCACAGCAACTCACAATAATTGTAACTTGTGTATGCTCAAGTCAGACAAATCCCAGTTTGAGGGTAAGGGGTGCACATGAACTCCTAATCCTGGTGCAGTGCTATTGGTGTCTGATAGATGCCAGCAGAGGGGAAGTCTTTTCTCTTTAATTGTATGATCACTGATAGGTGGACTGCTCTCCACAGCAAGCTCCCCACAAAAGAGTATTTGGATATCACGGATTGGACTAGACAGAACTGAAAAGATAGAGAGAGAAGAAAAGATTCAGAGTTGGGTGAGATGGGAAGTAGGTGATTTGGAAGAAGTTGAGGAAGAAAGATGAATATAATCAAAATATATTGTATGAGATTCACAGTGAGCTACTTAAAGTATTATTAAATATATATTTTAAGCAAAAAGTCACAGATTGAATAACAGATGCACTTTAATAACATGAAATTAAGTATACCTAATATGCAGATGAAAATAATATTTACTGGATGTTAAGTGAAATATATAGTGTGATAAAGACATGTAACACAAAGATGCCTTTTACTTAAAAGAAGGGTAGCCAAGAAGAATTATTTCTTGTATTTCAAGAATTTTTTTAATGGGGTTAGGGGGATGGCTCAGCAGATAACACTCGTTGCTTTCTCAGAGGAACCAATATCAATTCCCAGCACCCACATTGGGCACTTCAAAGCCACCTACAAGTCCATGGAATCAGATGCCTTCTTTTGGCCTCTGCAGGCATCCACATACATGTGGCAGATACCCACACAGATATACATACATAAGCATGAATAAAATAATTTAAAATTCTTTTAAAGACCAGATGATCATATTTTGATCAATAATTACTATATTCTTTGATCATTTGACCTAGTTTCACTTATATTCCTTACTTAGTGATTTCTTTAAAAAGTTAATATTTTTGCTGTCTCCAAGACTCTTGTGTAGATAGGAAGAATGTCTCACAGGTTTTAATTATCTCAGTTATAGATAAATTAAAGTATTTCTAACTTGAATATTAATTATCCTACCAAACAAAATTTAGGTTTTTTTTCATTTGAATATCTCACGATCTCTGTTTTAAGTGATGCACTGTAATTGAACCTTTATTAGGCTTTGTACTGGGATTTTAGTATTTATCACCCCTGAAAGAAAGAAAGAATGAACTGATTTAAGTAGATCATTAAGTGTTCTAAAACCTAATAGATACCATTAAAACAAAACAAACAAAATTGGTTCTTTCATTAATTCTTTATTAAAATTCATAGAATGGTTATATAACTATGTGTTCAATAGCTTTTAAACGACATATAAAGTCTCTTATTGTGAGTTCTAGGAAAACTGAAAAATAAAACCCACAAATTTCTCATTAATTATTCTTTCCTCAATTTCTCACTGGGTTTACACTATTATATGCCCAATAGCATTTAAGTGGCTATAGAAATATTTTGTTAATAATTTCAGGGTTACTGAAATCATATCTGCCATTATACCATGTGGGGAAGCTCACAGCAGATTTTACAGTATGCCATTTCAGCTAAACAGGCAGGGTGCATTCACACTTGCTGGTACATTTTCTTACAAATAAACAGTAATTATGGTGAGTATGATTACAATGTATGTTAGGTTTTGAATAGAGGTATTCAGTGGGCCATTTGCAAAGTACACAAATTATTGGGTTTAATGACAGCATCATAAGAAAAGAATAATCACTCTAGTGTTCTATGAACTCCAAAAAGCAGCTTGTACACAACTGGCCTTAAAAAACACTAAGGAAATGTCTCTGCAGTTCTTCCTCTGTCAAATATAGAATCTTTTTTACAGTGTGCCAGTGAGTTTTCAGATAATGTGTGCACCTTTAGAGGAGTCCAGAGCACATGGATTGAGAGTATGTTCTAGAGAAAGGACTGAAGCATGGCGACTCCTAGCCTCTTATGGAACACTTGGGCTGGCCTAGGACCTAGTGTTCTTGCCCAGAGCCCAGTGCACTTGCCTTAATCCCCTGGTACTTCTTAGGCCCCAAGGCCAGCAGCAAAATCTCCACATCACTCCCCATCCAGGTACTTTAACCCTAACTCTAATGTGTCTCTGCCAGGCAGAAGTTTGTTGTTCACAGCCTAAACTGGTTCTGCCTTTGGAGACTTGGTCCACATCCAGACCCTGATAGGAGGCTGGATCTAATCCGTCTTCCCTTCCCAGATCCCTGGTCTTGGGAAAGAGGAAACACCAAGGCATACCTTTCATTTCAGACACAGGGTTAAGATAGAGAGTTTTTTCTAGTTTCCTAAAATCTTCACATCTACTTCAAGCTACAGAGGAAATCATGGCTTGCACATTATTTTATTCTGAAAATGTATCTAGGAGCCATACATTTAATTTTCACTATATACAAACTCTCCCTTGGCATTAAGCCCAGTTCAGACATGTATTTGGAGACTACTTTATTTCTATACCAGCTGTAGATGGAGAATGCCTCAATATCCCCTTTATTAAGTTTTAGTTACGAATAGAATTTTTAGTAGAAGGCAAGGTAGACTTGTCACCAAAAAAGTGAAGTAATCTGTATTTCAAGCTATTATGTTTGAACTTGTTTTGCAACTGCAACACAGACTTTTGTCAGATGTCCTCAGACTTCCCAAGGCTGACAAGTTGTATTTTGCTCTCTGTCCTTTTTGAAGACATTTGCTTTTCCCATTGTTCTAAAATGTCACATGCCAAAGAAGAAAGTGTCACAAAAAATAAGTAAATCCTCCAGGGCCAATCGCACCAGGTTTGTGGCAGTCTTTCAACATTACCATCATTGATAGTTTTGTGCCTTGTCTCAAAGGGCTTTTCATGTTAAATGTGAAGATCATATTGTTCTGCTGAACCAACTCTACCTTTCCTTCCACTGCCTCTGCCCTTCTTTGCCAGCAAGACAATTAAATGAAGTTTATAATTCTAATTGCCAAGTAGCAGAAAACATTTTGTACTTTACATTAAAATATTTATTTTATTCTGAAACTGAATGGAATAAACATGTTAGTGTATGTTTTCATATTAAGTAAGGTTTCTTCCTATTAACAGTGCTTCAAGTTTAAAAAAATGCAGAAACCAAACTTATGCTTTACACTCCCTGAAGTTTCCTTAAGGTTCTTCCATATGCCCATCACTGATGAGAAAACTGAGAAAACGTCCCAAATGTGGGCTCTTTAAGGGGGTTGGCAATACATCATGAAATCCCCACCCCTGAGCAAGATTTTACCACAGGAGAGGAAAGACCTGGGCCTGAGGACACTTCTTCACATACCACACAGAAGGTTATCTAGAATTCTTAAAGAACATGATGGTTCAGTTATTTTTATTGCCAGGTCACAGTGAGAATTGAAACAAAAATTAAACTAAAAATGTTCACTTGAAAGAAAATGCAAGATTCACCCCAGGTCCCCCGGTTTGGTGGTAGTTAGGTTTGTCTGACATAGTCTTACAGGATCCGATACATGATGACTTTCTTTTGTTTTGTCTTGTTTACATCTAAATAAAGAAATTCATTTCTCAAGGGTGCTCTTTGAATCTCTCTTCTATAATCTATCTGCTCCATAACAGCTTTAAATTAAGTCTGTCCTGCTAGCCATGTTGTAATGGACAAGCTGTCTCCGGTTGGCATTATCTGGACTGACTGGACTGTGGCAAAGTAATTTGTCTGTGTCTCTGTCCCTCTGAGGCTGGCTTCTTCCCTTGCTGTGGATTGTCCATCCATTCATACTCCATAAAACCTTACACCAAACCAAGAACCCTCTCCTCTCCATTAGCCCTTTAACATGTAGTGTGATTAGCTGCTCAGAAAGAACAACTTACCTGGTCTAAACTCTTGCCCGGTTCTGACATTCTAAACGGACTTTCTGTGGCTTTTGCTGCTGAACAGTATTTGATTTCTGTTGTGGCCTTGATGATTCCATCACAGTGAATGTTCACAGTGACTGAACCAGGAGGAAAATCTGACAAAACACAAACAGGAGTTAAACTAAGCTCCAAGTATAATGCACACATTGTATCATTATGACTTAAAACTCCAAAGGAAGACTAAGAAGTTGTAGCATTTCACCTCTAGCAGTTAAAATATTTTTCTACATCTAAAGCTTAAAAACACAAAATTGTAAACATTTAGATTAAATAAACTTGGAAGACAAAAACATATGCCAAAATTACATACAAAAAGCAATGTAATAAATTAGTTCTCCCTACTGATACACTTTTTGTAGGGATAGAAATCACCTTTCCACAATTCCTTAGAATTTAGCAAAGAGAATGAATATATTCTTTAAACTTGGGTGTTTGTTTGAATTTTATGAAGAAGTCCATTAATTATATACAAGTTTCTAGATATTTTGGGTAGAAGAAGTAAGATTTATTGAAATTACAGATCATGTAGCAATTGATTAGAATGAGAATCCTGGGGAAAACAAGTATATCCAGAATCTTCAGAATGGCCATTGTGTATTCTACTCATCTATTAATCTATCCATCCATTCATCCATCCACCCATCCACTTATCTATCCATCGATCCATTGATCCATTCATTCATCCATCTATCCACCCTCCATCCAAAGACTTTCTGTAAACAAGTTGGTCAAAATGACTGACAAGCCATACATTGAATTCTACTGTTATATACCAACAAAGTTAAAGTTATATAAAAAAGGGAACTTCCATTAAAAATGAAAAGTAAAACATAATTTCATTTAAAAAGTAACACTTTAGTGTAACAAACATAGGCAAAATTTGTCTTTGGATCTATTTGAAGGACAAATTTTAACAGCTTTTTACTCTGCCATTGAGATATTTCTCAAAATCTTCTAAAAAATGTCAGAAGTTCAATAAAAAGACCAACATTGTTGACCAGCTGTGACTTTTTAATTTCTTAAAGTTTAGACACTGCTTTGAGTCATCTCATCAAGTTAATCCACCTCTCATTACTTTGTTCAGGTAAGTTCAAACTAAAAAACAAACAAACAAAAAAAAGGATTCTTAAACTGAATAAGATCATGGAGCTAAAATTTCTATCTCCACATTCTTGACAAGATATAAGATATTTTATAAAATTTTATACACTGAAAAGTATTACTGTGTTCCCAAAGAAATAGATACCCAATAGAGAATAAGGGAAGTCACAAGAGAGAGCCAAAGCTACAACACACATTCTATGAGCTAATGTGGTAACTGTGTGGGGAACAGGAAGTTGGTGTTGTCAGAGCCAAGCAAAAGAGATTTCAGTAGATTTTAGGTAAACCTCAGTTTAAAACATTTAAAAATTGCTTTCCAGGATGACAATACCTAGAAATCATAAACTAAACAGAAATTTACTAATCAATTGTTCCTTCACGAAAGGTCAGCACAGTAAGCCAGATCTCCTGAAGTACTTTTCATGCTCCTTTCAAGAGAGAGGAAGTTACAATTTATATTATCCAGAGCACAGCTTCATCACTAATAGAGTCAATATTTTTGCTCATGTATTACATATTTCTTTCAACTTTTAATTATATTTCCCCCAGCTGTTAGGTTTGTTTCCTCATGGTATTTCTGGCACCAGAGGAATACTCTTTCTTCTGCAGAGAAATTAGCTAATGTTTCTAGTTGAAAGTTTCATCATGCTTTAATGCTTATCTATAAGCTGGAACGATTGTAATTTCAAATTGCCTTAGCCATAGATGGCATTAGGAAAATTTTGATCCCTGGAAAAATCAAGTGATTATAGATACATCAGATTATTGAGCTGGAAGGATTGGGGAGGGGTTGTCATCAAACTGCATGGTATTCTCACAGGTAAAAAACTCAGACTGCAATGTTTAAGTGGATCAAAGGGAAAGAAGTTACCTGGGAAAGAAGTTGGAGAATTTCTGCCCTTCTGAGAATTTTGCCACATCCTTGTTGATCATGTCTTCCTTAAAGTGTCTATTTACATGATTTTCCTATTCTTTTTTAACTTAAAAGTTTATACAATATATGTTTACCACAGTTTTCTCTTTCCCATCTCCTCCCTACCTCCTGACTCATTCAGCTGTGTGCCTCCTTTCTTTCTCTTTAGGAAACAAACAGGAAATAAAAAAATATACCAAAATAAAAAAATAGAACAAAAGCACAAAAAATAATAGGATTACTCTGTTGTTATTGAGGTTCTTTTACTGGATATTAACCTCATATCAAATAGTTTGTAATACTTTCTTCCACACTATAGCCATCTCTTAACTCTGTCAATCATTTCCTTGGCTGTGTTGAAGGTTTTTGGAAATAATTTTTCATTTGTCTATTTTTTCATCTCTTGCTTATGCGTTGAAGTATCTTATAACAACAACAACAACAACAAAAACCTTAGTCCATCTCAGTGTCTTGAAATGTTTTCAAAATATGTTCCTTAAATTGTCTCAGGAATGTTTGTGTATTTTTATCCTTTCTACTCCACCTGGCATTAGGTATATCAAGCAAAAAATATTCTTAAGTAATATGTATACTTTTATTTGTTATTTTGATAACAATATTTGGGAAATGTTATTTAAGTACGTCTTAATTTTCAATATTGCTGTTTCGGTTTTGATGTATTTTAACTAGATTTAGTTTGAACTTGGGAGCTAATTATTTGGAAAGTGTTATTCATTATATCATTTAAGAATGTGACATAAGATAGTAAGGGCTAGGAACAAGAAAGTAAAAGAAAGGTGGAGAGGGTTCTTCCCATCACATTCCTGCATAATTTTCCACAGCAGGAAACAGTGCTTGATGAGTCTAAATTATTGGAATAAAGGCTTTAACTTCTGAGAACCCAACTCCAGTGACAGCTGAGTGAGGAAGTCATGGAAGAGCCACTCATATGAACAAACAATGCTGCCTTGCAAATATAAATGAACTGTAAAATGAACTCAGCGTATACTTAATATACTTTGCAATTATAAATATTTTGTATTTCCATACTTATAAGATTAAATATCTATTTATATAAAATATTTAAAAAGCTTAAAGCTTTTGAAGTTTTACATGATAACTTTATGCCCTGATTTTAGAAAATCATAACATAAAATAAAAAAGATAGTCCTATATTTTAAACATATTTATTTTCTCTATTTTTAATTTGTGCATGCATGTGGATATGTGTCTATGGAAGCCAGAAAAGGGTTTCAGTTCCCCAGGAGCTGGAAACACAAGCAGTTATGGGCTGCTTAAACTGGCTGTTGGGAATCCGATACGGTTTAGTATGGAGCAAGCAAACATGAGTCATCAAATGATTAGCCTCACAAATGAGACAAGGAGATGATGAAAAGAATATCTAAGAAATGGAACCATGATCAGAAAATACTGAAAAAGTATTATGTTTTATAAAACAGCCAAAACTTTTTCCAAGGCTTGCAATAGAGACAAAAACAGAAAGCAAAATTCTTAAATAAAAATTTAAAAAAATTGTGAATCTTCATGGTGCATAAAGGAAATTATTTTAATTCCCTATTTAATAGCTAGTATATATCACAGTACTCGCCACTGACATATTTAATGATGTTTAATGTTACTGGCAGCCATTTCCCTAAATGGTATACAAACCAAGTTCTAAGGATTTACACAATCTCTCTTTTGCAAACTGGATTAATAACAATGTGAGAATTAACGCAGGAAGCACCTGCAGAGCAAACCCAGTTTCTGTAGGGAAGTGAAACCGTTTATCATAAATCACAGGAAAGGAACTCGGGGAGAGGTTTTATTATTATTAAAACACAAAATTTCTCACCTGCTGCTTTCAGACACCAGACACTCTTACTCCAGCGTGCTGGCCGTGTTCTGAGGCACTTGTTGTCTGATATAAATTCAACTTCTAGAATTTCACCCATCAGTTCATCTTTCAACAGAATGAATATCTCACCAGGATTCTGTAAAGTACAAATCTACAGGTTAAGTATGTCAAAGAGTTACCTCTACCAAGGTGGCCACCATATTTACTAGCGGTCAAAATCTTAAACTGTTGGTAAATAAGTTTATCCTGTTTGTATTTTCAACCATGTCATATATGAATATATAGATGCGTGACTCATTGCATTTTACATTTATTCCTTTGATATCCATCATACTCTCTTCCAGCCCACACCATGCTTTGCAACTGAGAAATGGTGAGAAGACTTATGCTTCTTTAACCTTGCCTCTTCCTGCACATTGCTTAAATCTCAGGGTACCAGACAGTTTTCACAGGCAGTAATTGACAGGGATTAAGCCAGTGAGCAATTCCTTTCCCTAGTACATTACCTTGACCTTGACAACAGTATCATTTCAATTTCTCTTGGTGTCTGTGTATGTAAAGCCTTAACAAATGTAACTTTAAGATCTCTCACAGTTAAAATATAATACAAAATGTTAATGTTATATAGTTCCATAGTCTGTGTAGTAGAAGTTCTCTCGGTATTCTTTGCCTATTCAAGGGCCCATTAAGGCTTCTGAGATGATTGAAGTTACACAACTGAAAATTTCAAGATGTAATTGTGTTAGAAAATTTTGATCTCTGAATAGAGGTAAAAATAGGAAGACCACATTTTGGGAACTAAATCCGGAAAAATGTAACTATCAAGAAGAGTGCAGCTGATATAGAGATTGGGAATTGATAAAAGTTTTTGGATGTTTACTTTACAGAAATTGTGGTAAACACTTTTTATATAAGAATATTTTCTTGAACCCTAACTGGAAAACACAGATACACACATATATGCATGTGCACACACACACACACACACACACACACACACACACGCACACACACCAGAACAGAGATGAAAAAGGCTACTGTTATTCAAAAGCAGAGCAATGTAGGATTACATTTGAAAAAAATTGTAAAGAATTATCTAACTTTCAGATCCACATTATTCCTTATATTATGCTATCTGACTCTGTGAAAAGTAAAATATTTTATGACTATCTTGGATATTATCTCTCAAATGCTGTTGTCATAGTAAATTTCACCCTGACAGTAAAGAGGAAACTCGCTGACACACTTTCATGAAATCATATTTATTATAAAGCCATTCCTTTAAAGTTTTCTTAGTCTACTATCATTGTTTTAAGCAAAACCACACACTAATAAGACTTACATCTCAATATGTTATACCCAGGCCTTTCAGGAAGTGGTATGCTAATGCTGTCAATCACTTATCTATGCTGCAGTCCATGTTAGCCTCTGTCCATCACAGTCCCACCCCAGATATTTCTCCAAGTATGATTTACATTTCTCTTTACCAACTATACACAGAGAACAGGTCCTACCTTAACAGAATCTGTGTTCTTGCCCTGGATCACGTACCATGGTAGCAGATAAGGAACACGAGCCATGGTCCCATCTGTTCTTCACATGTCTAATGACCTCATGTCTGTCATCTCAACCCCCCAAAATGACTTCATATCTCATTTTGGGTATGGTCCCCAGTAGCCTTTAACAGTCTTCTAACATGGGGTTCATTTCAGTGCCTAAGTCACTCCTTGTTTGACCCTATTGGAATTGGTTGAGCACAGGTGTGCTTGCCAAACAGTTTATTCTGGAAGACAGCTCATTCACATTCATGCTGCTTCTTAGGCATCATATTCCCTCCTTAACAGAGGGCAGGAAAGGGCCAAAAAAAAAAAAAAAAAAAAAAAAAAAAAAAAAAATCCAAACAGAAATCATCTACCTGCATCTTCATTTGTACCCTGAGCTTGCTTCTTGGATCTAAGACCTACACAGTCACACAGAGCTCACAAAGTTCTGCCCTTGGTTTAATGTTCTGCTGTCATTGCCTTGAAATGCTAACCAATTTGAACCAAGGGGCTTTGCATTTTCATTTTGCACTGCAAGCTAAGTAGCTGATCCCGTTTAAAGGTCATTGTTGCCTTGCTGATCAGGTATTTCTTCCTCTGCTTTCTTATGGCTATTCTGTCCGCCAAAGTCCAAGTCAGGTTTTACAGTGTCCTCTCTCTAATTTTAGCCTGCGAGAATCATAGACCTTCCCAATAAGCATGAACATATCCACACCTACGTCTGCATCCTGCCGTGACCAAGTTAAGCACTCTATTCTTTGTTAGTTCTCCTCATCCAAAATGCTCTGATAGCACTTTATAATCTTTATTTCATTCTTAGATCCTCTGATATTCTAAAAATTGAAATGGAATACTTCTGTAAAAACATGACAACTTTGAATTGGTATGCTCGCCTCTATTCCTTACCACCCTCCTGGGTGGGCTTTACTTACACATGCATCTCCCCGCAGCAAACAGCCTAACCTGGGAAGGAGATCTGATTTTAGTTGCATGGGTACATTTGATTCAAGGAGAAAGCAATAGGATGTTCATATACCATAAATGTGTTCTAATTGGTTATGAAGCTACCATTTAGTGCTTCATGTTTTTGACTCCGGTGTTTGTGCCTCTTACTGGGGAGGTCTAAGAATTAATAGAGAGAATGGGTTATGATCATTACTACTCATAAACCTTTAAGGTTTCTATACTGTTCACAAAACTTAAGATTTCAACAAAATGAGTGCAATTTGGTCTATAAGACATAATACATAGTGGGATTTTCTTGGCTCTTTGGGCTGAAGTTTAAACACAGGTAGAAGACTGAGATCCCATAGGTCACTGTTAGCTCACTAAGGCTTTTTAACATGACCTATGACTTTTTCACACATCCATAACTACTCTACTTTAAAAGATACCAGCTCATGAAAAGACAGGTTCATGGGACTTGGTAAATTTACTGCACAGGCATGTACAGTTAACACCTATTTGTCTAATAACAGCAGAGAAAGAATTGGAAAAAAGGAAGAATGGTGATAAACGAGGGATCTTCCACACATAGAAAGATAAAGAAAAGAATCTTAACTGGTCTTGAGGTTGGTGCTTCTGCAGAGGAAATAGACATATCCTTATCAAATCCTTGATAGGGACTCAGAAATATCAGGAGCGGTGAGGGTTCAGAGAATACGCTCTGTAGTGCTTCTGAAAGCTTTGTGTAAAATGTGTGAAAGGCATCAATGGAATCATTACCTAACACCAGGCATCTCTCATAAAGTGACTACAGGCCAACTATGCCAATTTCACAGAAGCCACAGGAAGGAGCCAGAGTTCCTGATGCCACCAATAGGCAGATGTGAGGGTGACTCATTTGTTGTAGGTGTACACTTGGAGACAGGATTTAATTTAGTAGGATTGCTACTTTGGATATGCTACTGCCATGAGGATCCCTTGTGCTTTATGTAATGCTTGAAACTTCAGGGTTTCTATCAACTAGATGTCAGTAGCAACTGTGATAATCAGAGGCACTTGTAGCATTGCCTGCATCTTCCCACATAAAAGAAAGGCAAAACTCTTCCCAGTGAAGAACCTCTACTCCATAGGAATTTGCCAAAGACTTTTATAGAGTCACATCTTTGAAGCAGTGGACAACAGTTGCTGGTCTAGAAGCCACCATTGAGCTAACACCTTCCATGTGGAGTTCATCAGGAAGGTAAAAATGGATGTGCTGTTTGAATTATGAATACCTTTGGCAAAGCTAACATCATATTGCCTATGATTTCTGACTCCACAATACAAAATCCAGAGTGAGTGTCCTGACCAATAAACAAGTAGAAGAGACTTAAAATATTAAAACTGAACAAGGTATGCAACTCAAAGAAATTAAAAGAAAGTCTTTATCAAGAACCAGGTTTAAACTTACAAAGAATATACCTACTTATTTGTTTCTCAGAGTTAGGAATAAATAACCTTTATAAATAGTACAATGGATCAATGCTAAAGTGAAAAATAATATTTTCCTCCTGTTTTTGAAGCATCGTAAGATGGTCAAGGCTTAAGAAATTGATAGTCTGTGGAAAGAAAGGTCTGGGAAAGGTTACACAGCAGAAGGATCAATACTTCCCAGCTCTTAGGATCACAGGCAGCAAACAGCTGAAAGCTCCCCCTCAGTGAGCAATCTGCAAAAGCTACTTCTGCCAAAACAAAAGCAGACTGAGCAGAAATGACATTGGAGGTGTGTCCACAGACCCAGAAATTGTACAGCAAGGAGTAATGGGGGAAGGGACCAAACTAACCCTCATCATAGGGAAAGAAGACTGTGTTCCCACACAACACATGTTCCTATCAGCATGATAGGAACACAGAACTACAACATGGGTTTTGACAGTGCCAAGTGTGAATAAGGCCCACCTCCAATTGCCTAGAAATTGTCAGAGCTAGCATTGATAAGTTCTGGAACTTTTAGGATTCCAGAGATGCCTCTGCTGTTACTTTGTAAAGAGAAAAGACATTGCTCTCTGGTCTTTGCCCACCCACTAACTAGAAGACTTCTCAGAAATATGGTGAAGTTCAAAGGTTGTCATTTCAGACAATTGGCATGTACTGAACATTCTCCAGGGAAACCAAAAACACAATTTTCACTCAGCTGGAACCAAATGGTCTTTTCTGTGGTGCTTGGCAGCAGTGTATGAATTCAGATTGTACGAAGAGCTACTTACTGAGAGCTCAAGATTCATCTGGATAACTATTTTTGGTCCAAAGGATGAAATTATTCTGAAATGTTGGAGCATAATGTGGGATTTAAGATATTTTATATGATCTTTTAACTTCTAGGGTTTTTTATATAGTGGGGTTCTCAAGATGGATTTGATATTGAAGTAATTTAACTTTATAAAGCCTAAAATATTCTGTCTATATCCATAAAAAATTTAAAAACCCATGGCTGGTCTATTGAAAGGACCATTGACTAGTCATCTGCATACAGTATGTCTGCCTAAGGACAATGGAAACTTGCTTTTGGACTTCAATTTTTTTCTGTGATTAATAAGGGGAGGGTTTTATAATGCTCAAATTTTTACTGTTGCAGATATTTTTAAAAGTAGCTATTTAGACTCATTGCATAACTCCTAGGGAGCTATTTTTACTCTTAGAGTTATTTTATTTCCTGCTTTGATTTCATCTATTTGAGACTAGATCACATTGCTTTATTACAGTTCTTTCCTGTTTCTTCCATTATTTTTGATGCCATAGGAGCTGCCAGTTTTGGCTCTTCAGCTTTTTTCTCCCAAACTTAAGATACCTATTCTTTTACCCATGTGGTGACTTGTCTTTGCTGGGCAGCTATGTCTGGTATCTCAAAAGTATACAGTTCAAATTTCTGACATTTCTGTGGTAGTGTCTGAGTGAATTTCCTTCCTCTAGAACTGACAGTAAAGTGAGCTAAAGGAGCAATACTTCTGTTCCAACAGTCTGCAGAGTGGAAGTAAGGGGTTTAAACTTCAGCAGCCCCTACAGGATGTTCAGCTTCTCTGGCCACAGGGTTGGGGACCAACCATCTGCAGCCATCAGAGACCTCCTGATGTCAGGTCATATAAATCTGCCAGCTCTTCCAGAAGGACGCTCTTCCAGAAGAACCATAAGGTTCTTCTATACTGTGGCCCTTCCCACCCAAGGCCACCATAGATATTGAGGTCTAGCAACAAAGTTCAAACTCTTCTAGGGCTTTATTTTAGTCGGTCAATCCAAGAAAGATGTAGAAGAAGAAACATCAAAAGTGCTTCTATATTGTTGCTTTCTCCAAATCCTCCTCCTAACTGCATTCTTTTTCCAGAGGGATTAATTCTTCCAGGTTGTATGATGTCATCATTCAACAATACATTTATAATTTTGAAAAGTACTCAGAAATAAGTGATTTTAAGTTCTATTAAATAGTGGATTTCCCTTTTGGAAACTAAAATATTATCTGCTTATTGTAAAATCAAGTTATTAAAAGTAGCTTAATATATGTAGAATGTATGTGTCATTTAAAGTGTCAAGTTATGTTTGATAAAATTAAGCATTTAGAGATTCTCCAGTGTCCAGTTAGTCAGCAAAGACATATTAAATGCCAATTGGTTGTTAGATATTATTCTAGGTTCTGACACTATAGTTGTGAAAAAGAGTAAACTAAAATGCTAGGTTAATTACAAATTACATCACGGTGAAATTTGGTGTCCATGAAAGCAATAGGACTTATAATAAAGGTCATCATCACTGACCTCACATGGAATTTCCTCAGGCAGTACCAGGGCCAGAGGTACAGACACTCCAGAAGCTTCTTGGTCATCAGTTTTCTCCTGTCCACTTGTCTCCTCAGAATGTTTTGCTCTTGGCTCTGTTGGAATGCTGACCTCAAGATAGTCTTCATAACCTGAAGAAAATTGCAAGAATACAGATTTTTATCATTCCATCCACTACAAAAAATTGCTGTGGAATAGATTTTATAACTACAGAAGCTGAGTCCAAGATAGTTGAAATAAGCACCACATTCATTAAAATAATATTTATTGACTAAATACTATTATAGCACTTATGACTAAGTCACATGAGCTATTTGATTATATGCTCATCTGCTGGTCAAATATTCACAGTAAATTCCAAACATCACATATTTCTATTGCCTTAATAAACAAATGGAATATTAGAAAATTTATTTACCTTAAAATTATAAAGAAAAATTTCAGTTAGAGCAATCTAAGCCAGAGTACTAACATATGTGTGTGTGTGTGTGTGTATTCTAATTAGAGCAATCTAAGCCAGAGTACTAACATATGTGTGTGTGTGTGTGTGTGTGTGTGTGTGTATTCTAATTTTTAGACACTAATTATAAGCTGGGAATGGTTATTATACCTGTAATACCAGCATTTGCAAGGAGAAAAAGGTATCTATGCTAAAAGTTCAAATCCAGACCGGGTTATATAATGAGTTCCAGAACAGGCTGGGCTAAAATATAATTATGAAACAATGATTAAGTAAAATAACACTAGATACTAAGTTTAATAGTGAAATACAGGGCTGGCTGAGTGACTTAGCAGGACATAATCCTTACTGCTCTTTCAGAGGACCCAAGTTTAGTTCCAGCACGCATATCAGGCAGCTTACAGCTGCCTGTAACTCTGGCTCCTGGGTACCTGACAACTTCTTCTGGTCTCCTTTAATACTCACAATACTAAGTTTAATAGTGAAATACAGGGCTGGCTGAGTGACTTAGCAGGAAATAATCCTTACTGCTCTTTCAGAGGACCCAAGTTTAGTTCCAGCATGCATATCAGGTAGCTTACAGCTGCCTGTAACTCTGGCTCCTGGGTACCTGACAACTTCTGGTCTCCTTTAATACTCACCCATATGTGCACATACTTACATAGATACATATGCACCTATGTAAATAACAAAATATGGGTATTAATCAAAATGTTTAAGTCCTATGAAAATAAGTGGTTCAATTCAAAGGAGTTCTTTATGGGAATTCTTGAAACAATGAAGCATATTAATGTGAATTTCAGAACTTAAAGAGGGGCAAAGCGACTGGTGTTTGTCTAGTTTAACATGTAGTAACAACATTTAGTCTCAATTATTCAAACATTGTTCTCAGTGGAAAGAAAAATGTGTTAAATAATGAACTATTGAAAAACTTAGCAGTGTCTCAAAACTCAAAGTGTCTTCATTCAGACCATATGGTTGGAATTAGGATTCTCAAAATGAGGTGACATCTGTAGCTTTTAGGGTAAAAAAAAAAAAAAAAAAAAAAAAAAAAAAAAAAAAAAAAAAAGTCACTACAGAAATTGACCTGGGCAAGTGAAAAGAGTTTGGCCTTCCAGGAGGGAGTTGTGCATGAGGAACAACACTTTTGTGTCTCCAGACAAGGCCACTCCACTATCATAAAGACAGACACAAGATCATGCTGCAAACCCACACAATATCCATTCATCAAAGATGACTGATGCTCCCCAGTCCTAGTTGGTATGAGTGACTGCTACTTCTTTCAGTTCCAGGAGTAGGATCTTTTCTTCTGCTTTCAGATGGGACCAGCCACTCTGTCCAGTTTGTCTGGGATTTTCTGGCTTTAGAACTGTCATCATTGGGGCCTTTTAATGAGGAAATAGATTTATGTTTTGCCTGGAAACAATCTTTCCACCATGGAGTGAGAGAACAATTACCCAAACATTTGTGACATTCCCTGGCATAAACAAGTTATAGTCCTGTCTGTTTGGTTCTCCTGAAGCTCACACAACACAAGCCCAATTTTATGTTCCTTTCTACTACGCTTGTACTGAGATACCTCATGGCTCTCCATGATGTATTTCTCTTCATTAAAATAAATGTAACATCCAAATAATCAAGGGTAGGTATGCTCCTAGTGGTCTTTGGCTAAAGGGAATGAAGATGAAGAAGAGTCAAAGGTAATGGTGGGTAGGCTAGAGTTAGAATTTTGTCCTTATTACCTGGCAGGTAAATAGGACAGAAGGGTAGTTCTAGAGAGCCATATGCAAAGCCTTGCAAAATTAGAACATGGGAAAAATGTCAGCAGAAAAGAGCAGATGCTACTCCTAACAGTAGCAGAGGGACTCCAGAGTTTACAAAGGCAACTTGCAATTATGGCAAACAATTTGTTGCCATTGTTGTTGTTTTATATCAAAGGTAGGAAGGCCAACAAGATCCCAAATCCTGCCCCTCCCCCATGCAGATTACCCTGTCTCATTAGATTGTAAAGTTGAATTACCCCACGTGTGGTGAGACTCAGCCACCACCGATGTCAGGGGTAGGAGGCAAAGGCCATTTTGGCCCATTGTGCTTGCTAGTTTAGTTTCTGACACATTCTTTTTACAGAAAAAAAAAAAAAAACTACTTTCACTTTGTTGGTGCTTTCCTTTGTGTAGCATCAGTCTTATTTTTTCCCAAAAGCTATTATACTAAATAATACTAAACATACAGTCTTGGTAGAAATCTAAGATGCACACGATGTGTATAACACACACTAGAACATACAAGAGAGAACAAACACAAAAAAGTCTGTGCTGCTCCAATGAGTCCAAGAGCCCGATTCCTTTAAGTAGATAAACTTTCTCCCTGCTCCAACTCATTTCCTCCCTCAGAAGTTTTATTTTCTACAAGAAAATAATCTCTGCTTCTGATCCAACTGTGTGTCTTGGCTCAATTCCTTGTTTAGGGACACAAGAACCTGGGGTCACTCTGGAGCTTGATATCAATCACATCTAAACAAGGAAGTCACCAGCCCCAAGCTGAAGATGAGGATTGGGAGAGCTGGGAAAGGAGATGATGGAGCAGACTTCAGACAGGTCTAATAGGGATCTATTGTTTTTATTTTGTTTTGCTTCTGTTTCATGAAAGATTTTAATTGATGAAAGATCCAAAAGGCTGATTTTACTTAATACACTGTAAAACAAGTCTTCCTACCATACCATATCAAAGTGTTGTGCTTTTGAAAAGAATTTCTTTGTAGTGTTGGGTTTAAAAGCTATTTATTTATCCTAGGGATACAACCATGGGGGTATAAAAAGAGATAGCTCTATGATTGTGAACAGAAAATTAGAAGAAAGACAGGCAACAGGCAAACAAACAAAATGTGTTGCAAGATAAGAAAAATGTCATTAATAAAATTCTATCAGACAATATTTAACAGTGAGAAACCCTTTCATAGTATAACTTGAAAAATCCAAGTTATAAACTTTTCAACTTAAATGTTCATATATCATATACATATATATGCATACTATGTGACAGAAATTCAAGACATTCATATTCTTGAATGAATGAGAATAAACTAACCATTTCTATATCAAAAATCATAGGAGTGGCTATTTCTAGATTCCATGTTTTATCATACACATGTACATGTTTTTAATAAATTATATAAACAATTATGATTTTTCTTCAATAAAATATAATTTTACCAAATAATCTAGAGAAAAACATACACATTTATTTCAAAATAAGGATTGAATTGATCAAGACCTCAGACTAAATATATGCATCTATCCCCTTCTACAATATGCAAGCAAGATATCCTAGATTGTCTAAGGAAAGTAATTGACTTAGAACATGAGATAGTGACATGTACCACTGAGTTACAGCCAACTTTGAGCAGTTCTGAAAGTCTGAAGTTAATCAGAAGTTAGATGAATATGGATACCCAGAGAAAATAGATCCCAACACATGATTGTAAAGCATAATTTCAAATATAAGATTGGCTTTTCCAAACTACTATCCAAAAATAAAGAAACCCCAGATTCACAGCATGCACTGGCAGGGACTTCAGAGATAAACAAATCAAACTAGTCCAAGCTCTATGAAGCTAAAGCTCCTGGTAATAACTTACAATCTAATTTGTATCAACTGGGAGCACTGGGACTTCTCCAGGTGCAACTGTTATTGGGAAAGAGCAGTTTGCCTTTGTCCAAATGAAACTCTAGAGATTCCTTCTAGACAAAACATACTGGGCATGAATGCTGAGAAAGGCAATGTGTGAAGTCTGGTATATTTTCTAATTTCTCAAAGTTAGAAGAGAAAGAAAAGGAGGGCTGGCCCGTACTTCTCAGTGGGTTAAGTGGGGGCATGGCTTTATGATGTGAAAGTGTTCAACCCAGGGTATTTATAAAAGGTGCACTAGCAATTGGCAATTGACAATGACTTTCAAGAACAATATTGTCTGTCACAAAAAATAATCACCATCTTGATAGATAAACTATCACATAAGAGTCACCCAGATCAATATGAAGAACATCAACAGGGCAAAATTATTTTTATTTAATCAAACATTTTAGAAAACTTGATAGTCATTGTGTTAGTTAAATTTTCATCAAAAGTGACAAGAGACCTCAGATAAATACTTTAAAAGAGGAGATGTGACTGTGTAATGGATGTGATTATAATCACTATCATGCAATGGATATGATTGTAATTTGATTATATATCCATTACACAATGGTAGAGTTATCACAAGAATGACCTGACACAAACTTTTAAAAATTGTTACAAACAACATATGACCTCAAACTCTGGAGGCAATGTCTAAGGCATCAGTTATGACCATAGCATAGGAGTATACACTAATTAACATTAGGATGATGTTCTAGTTAGGATTGCTGATTTACATAGACATAAGAGTTTGTATGTATATATATTAGTTCTCAGTGCACAAGGAAATTTTCTAGCATTTTACAAAGCATTCTAGCAGAGTGGCTGTGTGTTTTATAATTGATTGGCTGCCACTACTTAGAAAATAACAAATTATGACAAATGTAGAGTCCTAATCAATAAATAATGGTGGCCCTTCTCATGTTCTTCTAACAGTGCTTGCTCCACAGAAATTCATCAATGTATGTTAGGAAACAAATTGAAAAAGTATAATAG